TCAGTTATTTTTTTAAAATAATATCCTTGTCTAGGCTCTAAATAATGAATGTGAATTATAGCAGATAAATTTATTTCTAATGTATCGCAAATCATAAACACAACAGACGTACAGTTGAAATAATCAATGAAATTTTTCAAGGTATGAAATAATAATAATTATCATGCACAAATGAGTTATTCACATCTTTGGCGTGTGTTTTCAGTCTTTTTGAACCCACTAATGATCATATATAAATTATAAAGAAAAGATTATTCTGTTTCATTGAATGCGGTTGTATCATTTGACCTAGAAACAATAATCTGTACTATTTACAAGTCAATATGCATAATTGGTCAGGTAGTAATTACAGCCTCATGAAAATAAAGATGAATGTTTTGCTCCTTTTCCCAGTTGTTAAGGTCAATAGTTGTAAGGCGAATAAACAATTTCAAAATGTAAACATAACGAATTATTATTTGTTCTCTGTGAATATATCTCTTTTATATTTAAGCGCCATCATTAACTGATTATACAGAAGGTCAACTGTTAATTGTTAGTTATTTTCATTATTAATAAGTTGCATTTAATATTTGCATTCATCGTATTGACTTCAAGAAAATGTGGGTAATATAGAGACACTTTGAAATCAGATATATCATTCTGACTCTTCTGACTCAGGACTGATCACTAAATGTATTGATTACGTTTTAATCACTAATATCATTTTTGTAGTTATCTAGAATGATACTTTGGAAGATTACAATGCGTTTGAAAGTTGTATTTTAAGCTAAAGTATAGATTATTCACCTAATACTTTAAATATACTCTCACACCATAATTTTGAATTCATAAACTATAAAAGATAGAACTTTAAGACCTATAAAACACTCTTTCATAAGCGGAAATCAGCGACTTTAGTTCAAAATATGATGTCTTTATCATTTTCTCTTAAGTAAAATGCAACTCTTGTCTTAGTACATTTGACAAGTTGGGGTCGCGCTAAAATCACGAATTGGCAGAAGTTAGAATTCATGAGCCATTGAATCGGGTCTCAGTGGCTGAATGGTATACGAGCTTGCCTTGAAACTGGAAGGTCCTGGGTTCGAATCCCAGTGGGTGCGTACTGCCGATGATTCCCAAACTAGGATGAAACAGCTGTCCAGTACTCCGGTGCTGGTTTTCAATGGTTCTCTAACTGATATCAATCCGTGATCAACTCGTAAAAAAAAGAAAGAAATAATAAAAAACTCATTAAATTTACAGGAAGAACTAGATTTGAACTGAGTCTATACATATCAAATGTAGTGTTTGTAGCTATTCTAGGTTTTCGAATGTTGATATGAAGAGATTTGATGGATTTCATGTTTGACTACAAACTGTTTTCAGTCAGAAAGCGAGGAAGGGCTGGACATCTGTTTCGTCCTAGTTTCCGGCTCTCCAGCAGTACGTATTCATGACTGCACCTAAGGTCGATTCCAGGACTTTCATGTTCCAAGGCAAGCTGAATTGTCTAAAGCTAGGTAGAACCACCATCAAGTAATCTTCAGTTTTCAATGGTGCTCTAAATGAAGTCAGTTCCCGGTCAAACTCGAAATTATTCTGATTATTGTTGTAATGTTGATCATTTGACTGTAAGCGCGTCGGATGACAAGACACATAGTTTGACTGTACATCACGAACTCGTCACTGAAAACTTTTACGCTTTGTTTTCGGTTTGCTTGTGAGAATTTAAACACTATTTTCTCATTTAAAACCATTTTTTTGAAAATTAGGAGTTAAAGACTCATTGGTTAAATACCATTCAGTAAATTTTTCAGCATCTTAGAAGCTAAAAGTATATAAGTGATTTGTAAGTCTTCCATTTATGGTTACATCGCGGTCAGAGTGCAATATGTCCTCATGAATGATATTTCAAGTTTTTCTAGCTTCAGTTTGCATAAACCGCATCTGAAACATTTACTTCATATCCAGCCTCTAGTCTTACTTTCAAAAGTGTAAATTAATAAATATCTTATGTATCGAATTGCGTTACTTCAAATAAGTAACCAACATATGTGACTATCCAAATAATTATAAATTCATGAATTTTGTAGCCAGTATTTGATAAGCTTTCGAAAATAAGAATAGCCATTTGACGTTCTTATAACAGCCAGGAATAATTCAGTATCCTATTTTATAAAATTCTCAAGCAAAAGTTGATGGACAAAAATTTCAACAAAAATTATCTCTCACATATGCATCAGTGGCTTCAAACAGTATTTAAATAGTTGTCACGCATAACCGCGCAAACAATGAAATTCATAAGTATTGTAGGACAAAATATGAATGAATACTCCTAACAGTCGCGTATGCCAATCTAAAATATTCTGGAACAAAGTAACAGTTTATATTATTACTCCCAAAAATATCTGCAGTAGACTGTGGCACAAACAGATCATTATCTTTTACCTGAAATCTGAAATAAATGTGAACTGCCTGGAATCTTGAAGATACGGAATTACTACAAATATTTAGAGTATAAATTAGTTCTATTTTTATCGGATGACTAAAAATAATTGAATCCTTTCGTCATTGTGAATATCAAGTGTAGATCTTCATCACTTGTAATTGTGAAGCTGAGAAAGACATTTGTTAAAAGTTTCTGTTCATATTCATTTAAACGCTAATGAATGCGAAAATTTGAAACTTCTTGCTGACTGACAAATTTAAACACGTAAACTATTTAGAAAAATACATTTAAGCGAACAATATTGCTTTCAGCTAGATCTCATCAGCGGTTAGGACTCTCGCCGACCATGCACATGTCCCGGAGCTCGATTCCCTTCCAACGCACACCCGATATCTATGGTCGGCCTGCAAAATTTGGGCTACCGATATCAAATGCTGGAAATTCCATACTTGTACCAAAAATACGGTGTGGAGTCAAGCTATATAAGAATAAAAAAAATAAGTAAATAAAATGATTTACATAACTCTACAAATAAAAATTCAATTATAAACCAATTACGGTGTTTTGTCAACAGGATAATAAGATTGTGCATATAAATTGTGCAATTAGTCATAATAGTAGTGATGATAATAATAATGGCTCTATAAGTAATAACGATGAAAAAGTTGGGCAATCTGGGATAACAAGAATAACGAAAAACAGCATGGTTAAGCAAACAAATGTTCAAGTAGAAGTAGTCGATAAAGGCTAAAAAAAACAAATGAACGCTGGATTGTACGGGAAGTAAGTAAAATACGTTTTAATGAATATGTGCTAAGATTAAGGGATGATAAGAGAGGGATTGAAAATATAAGTAAGGAGTGGTGGAGAAGTCATTAGTTGGTTATGCCTTAATAGGTCAAGGGAGGGATAAGGCCGTACGGACTTCTTTTGAATACATAGTTTAGGTTTAATATTTCGAATGCCTATCGCCTCAGCTGTGTACATTAGAAGAATACGATGTCTGTTGGAAAGATTTGGTGGAATACGATGAATTACTTTGAAAGCTCTCGTTTTCTCCACTACATGACCACTATCAACTAAATGTGACAAAATTGAGCTACGGATTGTTTTTGTCTGTCCTTTCCCAAACCACGATGGAAGATGTTCACTAACACGTTGGCTAAGCTGTCTAGTAGTACGCCCAATATAACTGTCACCACAGGTGCAGTTGAATTGATAAATGCACATAGATGTGGCGAAACTATCTAGTTTATCCTTCGTTTGCGTCCCAATCATTCGTAGGCTAGAGAATGACAAACATAGGTATGCTAAGTAAAACGTTCTTCGTATACTCTTGGAAAGTCTCTGGAATAAAATGTCACTTGATAAGTCACCATTAAATTGTAACTTAATAAATAACAGGCTTTTTACGTGCAATCATAGTCTGAGGTTTTATCTCCAATGTTTTCATTTTTCTTTATGAAACTACTCGGATAGCCCATCTCCGTCAAGTAATCGTGAATATATTCAAATTCTTTTTGTAAGTGGTCATCCGTACAAATCTTTCTTGCTCTGCTCGTAAGACACTTAACGACATTTCTTATATATTCAATTGGCGCGTAATTAAGGAAGTATGTGTATTGCCTGTGAATATATTTTCTCTATACACACTTCTCTCAAGTGACCCATCTTCTCGCCTACTCAACAAGACATCCATTAAATGTAGTTTACTATCCTGCTCCTCTTCACAAGTAAAAGTAAGCAAAGGTGGATGTTGTTGAATTTCATCAACAATTCGTCTATGTTTGCATTCCCATCAGCTAAGATAAATTTATCATCGACATAACGGTAAATTATTATTATTAAAAAAAATATCCAACTCCTTGATGACGTTTTTAAATTCCCTGTTTTCAAGTTTTGTGAGGAAGAAGTCAGCTAAAATGTGGCCTTATGATGAACCTATAGCTATTCCATCTACTTGTTGGTAATATGAATTTTTGAAGACAAAGCGCACATTCACTGTGCATTTAAGGAGAAATTCTTTGAGACTACACAAGGGAATTCCTAATTCCAGTTACCTTTCGGTGATTTTTAAAGCTATTATTTGAGATCTTTGATTATTGAAGAGAAGTATACAAACTGTTTCTATTTCCTTAAATTTCATAATTAATATCTGTAGAACAACTATTAGTTTAGATTAAAGACCGCTGAATTTCAAAAAGTGCTCACTTAATTCAGACTTCAAAATTACTTTGAAGCTACAATAAAATAAAAGCAAATTAATGAGAATTACTCCTGTCGTCATTTCATTATCAAAATAACGATAGCTATAAGTAAATTAAAAGACACTTACAATGACTTTTTCAGCTGTGATTTATTTTCATATCATTACATAAACATTTATGATGTGTTAAAACATGTGCTTGGAAAGCTTGTAAAATGTCATACACTTGAAACACTCTAAAAATTATTACTTTTAACCGTTATAGAAAATGTTTTATTTTTATCACCAAGTTTTAGCAGATATTTTTCTAATGCTTTTATTTCATTTTCTTGTGGACTGGATTAATTTAATTAAAAGCTGAATATGTATTCAGTATTACATATGCTATTACCTGTGATTCTTGGCCTGTTGCTGGTTCAAGTCAGCAGTTTACCATCAGAAGAAGGTGAGTATATTTGTTTACTCTATAAAACTATAAATCCTTCTTGATAATTATTTTTCACCTAAAATCTATGCACTGGGATTTTCGCCGTTAAAATCACAAATATTTGAACAAATAAATATCAGTAAGAGAACCATTGAAAACCAACAGGAAGTACTGGACAGCTGTTTCATCCTAGCTTTTGAGAATCATCGGCAATGCGCACCCACTGGGGTTCGAACCCAGGACCTTCCAGTTACAAGGCAAGCTCGTATACCATTCAGCCACTGGACCCGATTCAATGGCCAGCCCATTAACTCTAACTTCTACCAATTCATGATTTAGCACGACCAACAACCAATGTCATCGGTAGGACATCAATCCTCACACTTGGCTGGATGGACCTCACTGGTCACGACTTCTCACTAGAACTCTAGAAAACTCCGTCCTGTAGCAAGTCACTAGCGAGCATCAGATTATTTTCAACAGTCGATTTGTAAGGATTAGATTTGTTTTTCCAGTTAGATGACGGATTAATATCAGTTAGACAACCGCTGAAAACCAGGGAGTACTGGACAGCTGTTTCATCCTAGTTTGGTCCAACTCGAGAAACAAATCTAATCCTAACAAATCAACTCTTGAAAATAAATATCAGACATTTATGATTAATGAAAACCTTTTTATTATGAATTCTTTCTGTCCTCTAATCCAGCGAAACATGGTTGATAAAATTGTTAGACCAAATTTTACCTACAGTGCTTTGACGAAGAAAGTAGATAATTATTTGAACTGATTAAAAATGCCCATTAAAAGTTTTTCAAAAGAATGGATACTGAACAAAGAGTACTCTTTTCGATAACTTCATCATCAGGCTCTACAGTTATATAAACATTATAGTGAATGAATGAATTAGTGCAGTGAACAACATTAATGTTTAAATAACATCGAATCAATAATATTGATAGATTACAGCTCACTAACATCAACATAAATAAGCTGAATGTCAGAAAACTTAGGAAAGATAATAATACAAATTCATGAATTTATAGTCTCCACTGAAGGCTGGCCAGGACAGTAGTAGTGGCTGGACTTGCTTCTTTTGAACACAGAGCACTGGTTGTTTGAGGCGAATCGCAAAAGCCTCTGCTGTTTGGAGCATGCGGTGCTTCGATGATTTTGGCAATTTATTAGGCACGCGGTAGATGATAGAGAAGGATTCTTCCACGCTGGCTTAGTGGCCGGTTTGCACCAGATGGTCCAATATTGAACTGTTAATGATTTTAAATACACCTCTACTCAGCACGAAAAATCAAGTTCCTAGAGCAACGGCCAATATAACTCGCTCCACAAGCGCAGTTGAATTGGTAGATACAATTTGAAGTGGCTAGTCTAGGTACTTCATCTTTCAGTCGAGGTAGCACCATCGGTCGTGTAGAGAATAATACGTGTAGTTCGCCAGCATTAAAAGTTCTTTGAACTGATTTTCTTAATTTCCTCGTAATTATCTCACTTGGTATATCGCCCTTGAATTGTAGTCATATATAAAGTGGCTTCTTGTTTACAGATAGTGAGTAGTCCTTTTCCGCTTTCTTTGTCATGTGTTTCTTGATAAATTTTTCCGGATAGCTATTTTCGATCAAAGTATCATATACAATACTTAGTTCATCTTCAATTACTTCTTCTGAGCATATAGCTCTAACTCTATGGTTGAGGGTCTTCACTAAATTTCTTTTGTACTTGATAGGAATGAAGCTGTGAAAATGTGTATATTGTCCTGTCCAAGTAGTTTTTCTATGCAAATTTCTTTTTATGCTAGCATCTGGTTTTCTTGTAAGTAAGACATCCAGGAAGGCAATTCTGTCTTGGGATTCCTCTTCGCATGTGAATTTCATAGCCGAATGTACTTCATTGAATTCAGTAATTATTGTACTCCTTTCAGAACCATCCTATTAACTGGTTTATTTGACAAATGAGCAGAAAGTTATATGTCCACATTCGTAGTCAGTTGTTTGTCAATTCATTATAAGTGTGCTTTGAAGAGATATCGTAGTCTAACCAGTTTTAAGTATTTAAATGTTTGTTTATGTTGTCCTATTACCTGAGTATCAGAAAGAGAATTACTAATCAGACTATGCTTATACTTTCTTCCCTCATTTTTGTCAGGAAATTTTAGAATTGTGCTGTGGATTCATAGAAGTTATTTATTGGAGCGATTGGAGAGAATTTCCAGGATAACATCCACTGCGCGTCATATACATATATATTTATTTGTACTGTGTTAGATGGTTGGAGGTGCTAGGGGGCAACCTAGAAGGATCTCATTCCCCTTCTGAGATTCCTACTTCCTGCTGACTGCCTCCAGCCATCTAATAACAACAATTCACAGTGCGCTGTGATGGCCAGCCACCTAGCATGTTGGCCACATTGCAAATTTGACTGATAGAATTCAGTCTGCAACAAAGATAGGACTAGACACATTACACTAGTTATTGAATAGTGTCCAATCAAAAATATATATACTGTCAAAGTTTAGACTTAAAACACTGTTCTAAAAAACCATAATTGTACCCACTCTTATTAGTTTTCACTTTCCCTGAATTCATTTATTGAAGAAAATAAGTTAATATGCAACAGAAGTTATCATAAAAATGCACCAGTTATAAAAATAACTTCAAATTAATTTTAGGCGTGTAATTTGCTAATTCTGTGGAACATGTTGATTGATTTATTCCTTACGTGGAAAACTACTCATGAGACACTAGTAATGGTGTCAAAGTTACTACACCACTGCTTGAAAATATAAAGGCCTGACAAAACTGTAAATTGAAAAAAAAACTATACTAAATATTCCTCAGAAAACCTCACGTGTTAAACTTTAAGAGTTTTCTGGTTAGATTCAAGGCGAATCAAATTGGTTCTGTGACTTTTAACAACACTTGCTGAACTACAGACATAATCTTCACAAGTGAAACTAAACTGATGTTATCTACCTATAATTTTTTCAGTGTTTCAAATAGCTAGGAGTTATTTTCTACTTGATTAACTCTTTTTCCATCAGATTACATTGACTTGACTTCGTTGACTTAGTTGCTGTAGTAAGGCTACAACTTTGAGCCAGTATAATGAAGAGTATTTTCGAAAGATTACGTCATCCATCTGAGTTGTTTAAAAGTCTAAGCATTTTAACGAAATACATGTTCAGTCCAATTTTCAATATTTTTTTCATTTATCTAGACTTCTATGAGAGCTTATATGGACCGATTCGTAATACACGTGAATCTATGAGTTATGAAGTTGTACCAGACAAACGTTACATTCGATTTGGCAAAAGATATCATCCTAGAAGTCCTGGCTCCAGCAATTTACGAGGATATATACACTTTGGTTAATGTTAATTTCAGAATTTCGGCATTAATGAAAGTGTTACAACCAGAAAATTAGATAAAACATACGATTTTGTTCTACTTTCAAGATTATTAGACAGTTAATATGATAATATTATATATAAAATACTAATAAAAACAACAACTTTTGTTTTGTTTATCTCTGAGACTTTATCGGTTTCAAGGGAGTAAAATAAATGTTCATCTAAATTTGAATAACCTATTTGACAATTAAAAGTAATCAAACCACTTTTTGAAATAATTATAAAGAAATTACCATTAGTATTTTACAATGATGTAAAATTACTGTAAAAAATAGTGGATTTGTAAGTAAAGAGGAAAAAAGAACGGTAGTATAGGGTGAGCTTTATATTCTGCAACTTATGTGGCGTGTGCTAATAAAAGGATTTATCAGTAGTATATAAGAGGCGTTCATTGCCATAAAAATATCAAATAGCGGAAAAATAGATTTGACCTCAAGGTGACCAGACAGTTGCTGGGCACAATGGTAGCCTCAATAAAGTCACTGAAATCGAAAGGATGGGAACAGAAAATTAAAGATTTTCAGCTTGAGCTAACAGATCAACGAATGAGCGCCAGGAAAGATCAATGCTTTGAATGTGGCAAAGCAGGACACTGGAGGGTGTACTGCCCAGGGAGAAGGGGGAGGGAAAATCTCAGACAGTAAAATGGGTATTCTATCTCTCCTATAAGACTATAAGTGGTGGGGCTATCAAGATGAGGATCATGTTTTCTAAGATGCGATTAAGTGACCAAGAAGTAGTAAGTTTAATAGATACAGGGATGGCAGTCTCACTAATCGATAGAAATCTTTGTCAGAACGTCAGACCATGTTCACTAACAGTTCATACGGGAGGGGGAAAAGTGTTAAGCATTGCTCGCGTGTCAAAGACGTTTTGCAACGGCAAAGTAAAGTACCTGTTCATTGTTGAGCCCGATTTATGGTGAACAATACTTGGTGCTCATTTTCTGCGAGAGGTTGGTGCGGTAATCAATATGAAGGAGAGGGCAGTGATTACGAAGTACGGACCTATCAGTACGTATGAGACAAGGGAGATAGCAGGTTTAAAGGCGTTGAAAGCATAGAATATGGCAGTGTTAGTTAAAGAATACGTTCATCTGTTCACTGTAGATGGGGACCTTTAGGGTTATTATGATAAAATTAGGCATGAAATCCTACTGAGTGGTCGCAGAATGGCACCATTTACAACGCGAAGAGTCCTATATCATTTACAGGGCGAAGCTGGTTAACAAGTGAAGGATATATTACAGGATGATATTATTGAAAAAGCCAACAGCCTGTATAACTCTCCAGTTCTTTTAGTGAAAAAAGCAAATTGGAAGTACAGATTCTGCGTTGATTTCGGGCAACTACACATCATGACATAGCTGAGTCCGCGTGCCATATCAACTGTAGTAGAGACTTTGTATCGTTTACAAAGAGCGAATTCGTTTACACTGCTGGACCTCTGGTAAGGATATTGGGAGATACCGGTAAAACAGAGCGACAGAGATAAGACGGCGTTCATCGTGGCTGAGAATCAGTATTGGTCTAAATGCGTGGTGTTTGAACTAGCAGGTGCACCGTTTAACTACAGACGACTGATGACGTTGTTACTTTAAAATTCGAAGAATGTGGAGGTATACGGTGATGACCTCGTCATCTACAGTCAAAACGCGAGTGATCATGTGAACCATGTCGAATCCGTGTTAAAACGCACTGAAGAGTTTGGACTGCACATCAACAAAACCAAATCTCAGATAGCCGAACCGAGTGTTACGCTGCTGGTTCATAAATTAGAAAACGGTGCAATAAAACCACTGCCAGAGAAAGTCCTGATGAAAAAGATCCTTACTCCCCCGAATTCCAGGAGAAAGCTAAGACAGTTCCTGGGAACAGCAGCGTTTTATAGTCAATTTTCGAAAAAATTCAATGAGATAGCAGCGCGCCAGTACATGCTATTAGGCAAGTTGAAGTTTGTTTGGTTGGAAGATTCGTAGAAGGTATTCGACAGCAATAATCGGCTTTTGGACCACGAAAAATGACTCCAAAACTGCCTGTACTCGGAAAACAGTTCACAGTGTGTACAGATGCAAGTGACTACGCAAGGGTGCAGTACTTAGACAAGGTGAAGGAGTTGTCGAGTACACCAGTCGTGTTTTAACACACATGTAACAGAAGTATTCAACGATAAGGAAAAAATGTTTAGCAATAGTATGGACGGTAGACAAATGGAGACCACATTTCCTAGGTCAACGGTTCCAAATCGAAATTGGTCACAAGCCGCCAAAATTTCTAAGGATGGTGAGAGACCCATGCGTGAAACTGTCGCGATGGATGCTGCGCCTGCAGGAGTATGACTTCACGGTCTCACACATCCCTGGCAAAGAAAAGTTTTTGGCAGACTTTGTATCTAGGCCGGAAGAAGAAGCTGAGTTACCAGAGATTGTTTTCAGAGTGCATTCATTGGAAGAAGATCCATTAAGACTTGCCTGAAGTCAGGAATTAGTCCCTTCCCTACATACAGTCATATAGGTGATCACTAATGGATTAGAAGTGAATCAACCTACGGTGAGTGAGGATCTGACTGCGATACTCAGACAGAGATCTATTATGAGTAAACACCTACGGGACTCTGACTTGACGAGAGGAAGATGGAAGTTGATTGAAGGTAATAACTCAGTCTCTACGACATGAGATGATACAAGAATGTCACCAGCTGGCATATACAGGAGTAGCAAGAACAACCGATCTCTTGACACCAAGCACGTACTGGCCAGGTGTGAGAAAAGATGTGGCAAAATATGTACCTGGATGTCCTCAGGGCCAGTTGATGTAAGGAGATCGAAGCATACGACCGCCTCTGCAGTCGATTCCAGTACGGGCATTAGGTGAATTGTGGTCCGTAAATGTAACGAGTCCGTCTCAGCACACATCCAGTGACAAACGCTGATGATGACTATAGTCACGATAGGTAGACGCGGTCGTGATCCCTGATCAACGCGCGAGAACCGTGACTGACGCGGTAGTTCGACACATCGATATTTGAACAGGGAGAAAATATGAGATGCACAACCCTTGAGGTAGGCGATCAAGTAAAGTGTAGCGAAAGAGAGTATGCGGTTAGATGCGGGTCAGCTTGACGGAATCTCCTCCCAAAGAGGAAAGGGCCACACACTGTTAACGAGACACGTGGTCCCGTTTATACCATCAAAAGAGAAGGCAAACAGAAACGGGTTAACGTCAGTCAACTGAAGAAATGGATGCAGTGGGATAAGGAAGCCGGGGCCAAAGGAAACCAGGAAGGTGTAGAACCAAGAAGGTTGGAGCGGCTCTGTTCGAAACCATTTGATAGGAGGACGAGTGTGGCGTGTGCTACTGACAAGTTGTATCGATAGTATATCAGACATTCATCTGTACAAAAAATATCAAATAGCGGAGTAATAGATTTGGCATCAAAGAGGTCAAAATGAACCAGTATTGGAGCGAAAAATAGGTGACACGAAAAGAGATGAAGAGACACAATAGGATGGGTATTGGTAACTCACCACTGAAGAAATGTACAAGTGATGAATTCAAAAGAAAAGGAGTTCAGTGAAGAGTTACTCTTTTAGGCGATATCATTTTCAAGCTGTACAATCGCTCCCTCTTTGGGAGGAGATTCCGTAAGGCTGACCCGTGTCTAACCGCGTATTCACCTTCACTACGCTGTACTTGATCGCCTACTTCAAGGATTGTGCATCTCATATTTTCTCCCTGTTCAAATATCGATGTGTCAAACTACCGCGTCAGTCACGGTTCTCGCGCGTTGATCAGGCATCACGACCGCGTCTACCTATCGTGTAGCGTACTCAGTCATCACCAGAACGTAGTGATTGTCACTGGATGTGTGTGGAGACGGACTCGTTACATTTAAGGACCACAATTCACCTAATGCCTGTACTGGAATCGACTGCAGAGGCGGTCGTATGCTTCGATCTCCTTTCACCAACTGGTACTGAGGACATCCAGGTACATATTTTGCCACGTCTTTTCTCATACCTGGCCAGTACATGCTTGGTCTCAGAGATCGGTTATTCTGTCTTAGCAACAAAACGAATATTTCCAAAGATATATCATTAGAATTGTAAATTTTAGGTAATAAATTAATTATGTACAAACTAAAATAAAATTAAACAAGTTGAGTGACGGAGTCGAGTAGAATGCAACCAAAATTAAAATTTAACAAAAGTGAAGTTAAAAACTGTGGTAATAACGGGTGGAGATTTAATAGGGGGTGGAGGAAGAAAATAATAAAACTAAGAAACAAAAATATAAAAATTACGTACTTGATGTTAAGATAGATCAGGTCCATTGTAGATTTAATGACTGAACAAACTTCTTTTGCATGCAGAGTTCAGGGTTTAACATGTGAACTGCCGTTGCTTCTGCGGTTCGAAGAAGTTCGATTTGTACTCTTTGAGTGAGATTCCTTCGTATTCTGTAGATAACTTTGAAGTCACTCTGTGGGTTAACTTGGTATCCAGATTCGACTAGGTGTTCCAGAATAGAGCTTTGGGAGGGGGGTACCTATTTTCTCCTTTATAAAACCATGAGGGCAAGTGTTCGATGATACGTTTGGATAGCAAACACCAAGTGCGCCTGACATACCTAGCTGCAAACAAATAGGTGAATTGGTAGATGCACATTGATGAACCTGGCCAACATTGGTAGCTTTTTCTTCACGTTCATACAAGTCATTGGTTTCGTAGAGAAGGTTAGTCGGATATCAGCAGCGATGGTTTTCTTTAGGGAGCGAGACAGATGGTTTCTTAGTATTTCTGCCGATGAGTCTCTATTGGATTGCAGATTCAGGTACAGAAGTTTTTGGAAGCAAAAAGTGTAGGCGGTCTAAGTGGTTTAGGTTTCATAGATTTTGCGATGAAATGTTCTGGGTAACCATCTTCTAGGAGGATTCTCCTCAGAGTATTTAGCTCCTTTTTCATAGTTTCAGGTCTGAGGATGCTGCGGATTCTGTCGCTCAGTGAACGGATCAGGTTCTGTCCTGTGTATAGGGACAACCAACTGTGACAGCTAGTAAGTTGTTTCTTTCATGTTGGTTTTCTGGAGATGGCCCTTTTTAGTGTTCCATCTTGTTCACGTCTTGTTAATTCGACTTCCAGAAAAGATATTTTTGTGTCGGATTCCCTCTCTAGTGTGAACTAAACTGCTAGACAGCAGCTGTT